AAAAAGTCATATTCTAAGATCCCAATAATCATCCACATGTAAAATTCATGTTTTACAACATTTCTCAAAATCTTAAAATTTCGTAATTTTAGGGTTGTGAAAGATAACTTTATCTATTATTGTTGGAGAAATACTTTTCCCATAATGTAATTTATGTACCATCAGTGTAGTTGCCATAATTATTATGGGAATTGACTGTATTTTCTCCATTTTTTATTTTCTATATTTAATAATTAGGAAATTATTTTTCCTATCAATAAAGTTATCTCCTACAACTCCAAAACTACATTGCTTTGTTGATTAAGGGAATTAATGAATGATGTTTTAGAAAAATTCATATAATAAAGAAACAAACAAAATTATCAAAACAACCTTTAATAATTCCTCAACCTTCAAGACGACATAGTTTTAGAGTTGCAGGAGATCAATTTGACTCCTATGACAGGAGAAACAATAAACACTTATTAATTTACGGTTCTAGGATTATAAATATATGTAACCCTGATTTTACAAACAGATTAAGAATAAATATATAATTTACCATTAATTTCTGTCGATACATTTCTCCCTGATAGTTTCTCAAGCCTTACTAATCACGTTGAGATGTCAAGGTTACATCAAATTATTTTTCAGAAACAGCCTCTTGAATTTTATTGGATGTGGTGGCTATTTTCTTTGATACTGATTTTTTTTTTTTTTAGAACTTTGATACTGATTTTAACCAACCAAGAAAAATGAATGCATTAATTTCTGCTAAGACTATAAGTATATGATGCTGTCATGTAATGCTTTGATGTGATTTGCAATCAACTTAGCATAGTTTATTCTGGCGGGCCATAATCAGATTTATGTTTAGAAGAGCACGCCAAATACCATCACTGGCTAAAAACTACCAGTTAGTTGAAACTTATACATGTGTGTGTGGAGGAACAAACTACTGGGGGGAGATAAAGGAACAACAAACTCGGGGGGAGGGGGGTAGAGGAAAAAGTTTGTAATTTAAAATTTTAAAAAATACTACATTGAGTACATTTATCTAAAAGCACAATCCTTTTAAATGACAGATATTTTTTTCCATACATATAGCATTAATTATTTGTCATGTCACTTGACTGTTCTCTCACCCAAAACTACGTCATTTTGAATATTTATTTTCTTTATTTAATTGATCAAAAATTGATATCATATTTCTCTATTTTTCTTTATCACTATTGATTCATCTTTGTATGTTTATGATTCCTCGACTTGACAAATCGTTACGTCAAGTGATTTGATATCTGATTAACTCATCTATATATGGACTTATCGTTTCTCAAGCTGCTTGAAACAATTTTATCTCCAGCTACTAAATCATAGCTGTACAAAGATGGATCAATGGTAATTAAAGAAGAGAGAGAAAAAGAGAATCATAACAATTCAAAGGTGAATCAATTAATATAACGAAATAAATAAACAAAACGGCATAATTTTGGGATGGCCGGAGATAAACTTATCTCAAGTTGCCATAGAAATATTTTTTCCTATATATATATATATATATATATATGAGAAAAATATTTCTCAAGTCACTTGAGATAACCTTAACTACAAAACTACGTTATTTTATTTATGTATTTTCTTATATTAATTTATTCACCTTTGAATGATTATGATTTCCTTTTTTTCTCTTCCTTTATCACCATTGATCCATCTTTGTACGGTTATAATTTAATGGCCTTATATATATATGTGTGTGTGTGTGTGCATATATGAGAAAAAATATATATATACATACATGGGTTTTATAAGAGTTATGTTGTAGGAAAAGTGATTGTGTAATGTTATAGAGATTCGTTTTGCATGCCGTAGTTTTTTTTTCTTTTTTCTATAAAAAGTGTGGGCCCCACAAAATATTGTGTGTGTAGAAAAGTTTGTTGTGTCATGTTAAATGACAAACGCAAACCCCTACATACATACTTATATGAGGTAGGATCCTTTGACACCGGTGTCAAATTTCAATTTTGACACCTCATCTATGAGCGATTAGATCAAAAAAGATAAATGGTGTCACATGCTTGCAAATCAGAGTCGTTGATCTTTTTTGATCTAACGGCTCTCAGATGAGGTGTCAAAATTGAAATTTGACACCGGTGTCAAAGGATCCTACCTCTACTTATATATATATAGACACACACACACACACATCATTTTGCATATTTGTTTTCCTTTTTTAATCGATCGAAAATGGGTATCATATTTCTCTCTCTTAATTTTTCACCATTGATCCACCTTTGTATGATTATAATTTTCCAACTTGACAAATTCTTACATCAAATGACTTGACATCCGATTAACCCCATATATATATATATATATATAGGGATTTACATTTCTCAAGCCACTTGACATCTAGCAGTCAAATAATTACCATATTTATTGGTGAAAACATTAAATGTATGGAATTATAACCATACACCTGTCATTGCTAGATGTCAAGTGATCGGAAAAATAATTTTACCATAATATATATACATACATATATATATATATATAGGGGTAGACATTTTTACAGCCACTTTAGATAAGGTTATCTATAGTTATCCCAAAAACTACGTCATTTTGATTAATGGAGGGTGTTTCTGTAATTTTAGGTGAATTAATGAAGGGTGTTTCCATAATTTTGTTTATTTTTTTATCATATACATTTTACTAAAACACCCTTCATTAATCAAAACGACGTAGTTTTTGGGGTAGCTGTAGATAGCCTTATCTAAAGTGGCTGTAGAAATATTTTTTTCCATATATATATATATATATATATATATATATATAGTCCTTTGACACCAAATTCTAACCGTTGTTTTGTTGGATATGGCTCATCCTTCGCAGTCAGATGATAACCCTTATTGTTGGCAGGGTCAGCAAAAAGTCAACTGGGCCTCTGATTTATTGTAATTATTTTTTTTCTTAGTAGTTTTGACTTGAGCCCATGAATAGCTGTTGTTAAGGTTTTCTAATCCTATTTATATTCTCCTTGTAAATCGAGTGACTTGTAACGAGTGATGGTAAGGTGAATATAGTACAGACAAACTGGACGTAGTCTATGAACTAGGGTAAATCACCCTATCAATCTCTCTTCTTCTGCTTTTCCTTTTTTGTATTTTGTCAATTCTGTGTGATTGTCGATTTCCAACCGTTTCCGCCAATCAACGATTATCATTCTTGGGAATTAATAAGTTTGATTGACGAAAATTATAACCGTTTATTGGCGAAAATCAACCATTGAAATTTGGTGTCAAATTTCAAATTTCGACACCGGTATAAAAGAATTATGTCCCTTATATATATATCTAATAGGAAATGTGCAATTGTTTATTGTTACTCGTCTTTAATTATTTTTTCTAACTTTCCCAAAATGTCTTTACTAAGTTATTGAGGTAAAGAAATGCTTTATTAAATAATTGTGTTCATTTACTAAATAAATAACAGAATATGTAGATTTGAAAAATATGTATTTTTAATTAATAAAACCTCGTCTAGAATATGTAGGTTTGAAACGGTATAAAATAGCGGACTTTTTTTATATAGAAATATATAATGACGTTGAGTTAAAACAAAAAGTGAGATATAGTTTTTTTTTTTTTTTTTATCAAAATTCTTGAAAATTAAGTAATTGTAGAATAATAGATTTTTTAAGACCAGGAAATTTTACCTATTTTGGATGACGACTATTTCATAAATTAAATACCTTTTCATTAAATGAGAAATGCGTTATGCCACCAGAAGTCCAGAAAATCAAAGCCGATTAGGCGTCAAGTCATACTACAATCAATCTAGAATAAGGAGTAGACTTGAAATTATGTATTAGGCTAAAATAATTTTTTTTTGTTTTTTATTCTTTCTTAACAAAATGCAACAGATGAATTTAAGTATTCTAAAAAAATTTCGAATCTAAATTTCTGAGTTTTATGACTTGAAAGTTTAGAAAAATTTTAAATTATTTTCAGTAGATATATTGAAACCTTAAATTACTTTGAAATTTTTGAAAATAAATTTTTAGTGATCTATTGACACAAAAATTATTTGAAATCGTTTCCTATAACGAACAAATTTTGTAAGAATGTATTGTTACAAAATATAGGATTCATATTATGAAAGTTTCAATCTTTATTTAAATAGATCTTGTTTCTCATATGTTGAGGGGTTTTAGGAACTGTCTTCTCATATCTGATACCATATTTAGAACAATAATTATCAAATTATTTTGAGGTGTACTCTCCACCATTATAAATACCTGCATTTAACTTCATTGTTTCTCTTTCTACCATGGCATAGAAATGCTGGAAATACTATAACATCATCAATAAAAGCAAAAAAAAAAAATATTACCTGTTGACACCCCAATTTTGTCCTTTATTCAAAGATATGAAATAAGAATAAAATAAGAAAACTACAAATGACAATAAACAACCTTAAAAGAAAGAGAAAAAAATTTTGAGGTATAGAAAGAGATGTTACTTTGGCCAAACTGCTTTGTTTGTTGAATGTACGAGAGACAAAACAAAACCCATAAATTTTTGCAAATATGAACAAAACTAAGCTAGAAATAGGCAAGGCAAGGATGACAAAATCGGATTTGTAATATTATAAGCACGGCACCAAAGAGATGAAACAAAAAAATAAGAAGAAACAAAGCATCACATCACAATGCTATCAGGAAAGGAAGCACCAAAAACATTAACTGTCACTCTCAAGACAAGTTTTGACACGCTTCGACACAGTGTCCAACACGTGATCAATATTTCCAACACTTCATTATTTTAACACGCGAATTTGACTGTGTCCGATACGGTGAAATGAAATTTTTGTAAAAAAATTAATTTTTAAAAATTAAAAAAATTAATACAATTATAATTTGAAAAAAGTTAATAAAAACTTTAAAATAAACTTCACTAGACCCTAAACCATGCCCTTCGCGCTGCTATCTCTTTCTTCTTCCTTCACGTCTGTTGCTCTGGGTCATGGCTGCCATCCTCCGCTTCTATCTCTTTCTTCTTCCTTTGCGCTCCTCTGCTCTGGCGTCTGTTGTCTGGGTCGTCGTTGCTGTCTCTTCTCCACAACTGCTAGTAGTAAGTGCTCTGATCTGTCTCTTTGTCTAATCTCTCTCTTTGATATGATCCGGTTTTTTCAGTGTTGAATGATCTAGTGCCTTTATTATTTAAAAGAGTGGAATGATATGGTGCCTCTCCTTGTCTAATCTCTCTCTCTCAATTTATTTGCAAAATGCAAAGTCACCAAATAAAGGAAGAAGCTTTAGATAATTCCATTTTTCAAAAAATTTATTTACAAGCGAAATTTTAACTTATTGTTTTAACATATTTCTAATTATTGTACATGATATGTTTATTTATTATGTGAAAGGATATTGTAACAATCAAGTTGTGTTACTACTAATCAATCTCACTGCTAGATCGATTATGTTGATCCAACGGTTATATTTATTTCTATCTTTGTATGGTTATGATTCACCATATTTAAAGTGAAAGCATTAAATATGAGAAATCATAACCATACAAAGGTGGAAATAAGTATAAAATATTAAATTTCAGAAATCATGACCATACAAAGATGGAAATAAATATAACCGTTGGATCAACATAATCGATCTAAATGTGAGATTGATTGGTAATAATATGATAGTAACACAACTTGGTTGTTACAATATCCTTCCTCATTTATTATTTAGGTATTTGAGAATTGTATTAATTAAATTATTAAAATCATGACAAATAATAATAATTATATTTAATTTTTAAAAAAAATATTGATAAGAGTTAATGTTAAATGAGAAAAATGAATATAGCAGTATCATACAACATAAGACCTAGTGTTAAAAAATTACTTTTAAATAATAATATTGCATTAAATATTATTATCAGATACTAAGATAAGCCCTTTTAGTCTTGAATATTCTTTATTTTGCTCACTGTTTGATGTTCAGTATATTAAATTGATGAGTATTATTAGTTTAGTTTTATTTTTTATTAAATTATCAAATGAAATATATATTATATAAGTTAAAAATACTATTTAATATTAAAACGTATCTCAAAGTGTCGAAATTTTTATTTTTTTTTAAATTCAGAGTATTGTAAAGTGTCGTGTCACATGTTGATAGGGATGTGCATGGGTTGAACCGAACCGATTTTTTTGAAAAACCGAACCGAATTGGTTTAAATGGTTCGATTCGGTTCGGAAGTGATTTGGTTCGGTTGGAAACGGTTCGGTTCGGTTCGAAATCGGTTCGGGTCAACCCTGTTTTAAAAAAAAATAGAAAAAAATAAAAAAAAAGTTATAAAAATCAATTTGGTTCAGTTTGAAACGGTTCGGTTCGGTTCAAAATGGTTCAGTTCTTAAACTAGTTCTAAAACCGGTTCGGTTCATGAACTGGTTCTTTGAAAATCGATTCGGTTCATGAGCTAGTTTTTAAAAATTAATTATTTTAAGAGCGGTTCGTTTCAGTTCAATTCACTTTTTTGGTTATTTTGCACACCCCTATATGTTGATGTCGATGCTATATAGCTAATAGTCTATATAAAAAATGGACATGAAAATTTAGAAGGGAAATTTTTGGTTGGGGGGGGGGGAGAGTTCAAGGAGAAAAGAAAAAGAACACCTGTTCAGAGGAAGAGTTGAAGCTAGAAGGAACATAAAGTTGCAGTTGTTTCTTGGTGGGTGGAAATCTCTTTTGTAGAAATTTTGTTGTGGCGGAGCCAGCAAGACATTCTTGCCAGTGTCAAAAAATTCGGTTGGTGTCAAAATAGCTATGGTTATACAGCTACGACCAAAACGTGGCTACTTTTCAAAAAACTTGAAACATGATTTGCTACGTTTCAAGCGTAGCTAAATAAACGTGGCTAAATTAGCTAGTGCCAAGACAACCTTCTAGCACCAACGTGGCTCCGCCATTGAATTTTGAAGATGAGGTATTATCCCTTTGTGGCCCTTACCTAATCTACCAACACTTACACTATTGAAATATGCTTTATGCTCTGTTGTTTTAATGACTTGGATGGTAGATGATTGATAATATATGGATTATGTGATTTCTTTGATATTTATAGACCATGTTAATTTCTCTTATTGCAAGAATCAAATCGAGATATGCAATTTTGTTGTTGTCCAAGACTGAACCTATGACACTGAGAAGAGAAAATTCACCTTTAACAACCAAAAAAAAAAGATTTGCGAAATTTTCTTAATTACAAGAACAAATCAACTAGAGCTGGAAAAAAAGCCCTAAGCCCTAAGCCCAGCCCATTCATCCCTATTAAAGCCCTATTCGTTTTTCAGCCCCTTGTGTGGTAGGGTCATCTTAGCCCTAACCCATAAGATCCATTCATTTATTGGGCTGGGTTAGGGTTGGCCCATGGATCAAAAACATTTTATTCACTTTCTATCCTATCACATAATTTTCTCGGGAAAGCTGTGTTCTCCTTTTCGTGAAACCCTAATTTCATGTAGTTATTAACAAAATCATATACGGTTCCCTTCCCTTTATCTACAAGAACTGACCACATGGATCTTTTAGCAATAACGTGATATACAGACATAGCAGTCCCAATTGCACTTTATGTACCCAAAACTGTCTGTAAAGGCGTAGCACGCCATTCTAATTATGTGCCAGCTTGCTTCATATTATTATTATTATTATTATTGATATCTTTTTTTTTTAATAATTGTATTTCATTTAATGTATAGGAACTGAAAAATTGTATGATGGAGTATGTGAATAAGACTATGAACGTAGATGATGAAGTTGTTTCTGAAACTCCTCATGAAATGTCTGAAAGTGTTGAGACAATTAGGAGAGAAACATCATATGTTTGGAATTCTTTTACAAAAATTGGTATGGAAAAGGATGGTTTTGAAAAAGCTACATGTAATTATTGTGGTCGTGAATACGTAATTGGTAAAAATCCTAAGACCAAAACTAATTATGGAACTTCACATTTGAGTCGTCATATTTCTGGTTGTAAGAGTATGGCAAACTCTGAATCAAAAGACCAACATGAAAAGTCTAGCTTGAGAAAGGTTAATCAAATGACCCATCGAGAATTGCTTGCACAAGCCATAATCAAACATGATCTTGCTTTTAGTTTTGTTGAATATGATTTGATCAGAGTGTGGATTGATTATGTGAATCCTGATATTGTGATGCCCTCTAGGAATACAATTGTGTCTGATATTAAAAAAATATGCATCCAAGAAAAGGACAAACTTAAGCAACTCTTGTCCAGCCTTCCTAATAGAGTATGTCTGACTTCTGACATTTGGACAACATCTAACAGCGAGAGTTACATCTGTTTAACTGTCCATTTGTTGATGAAAAATGGAAATTAATTAGCAAGATTCTTAATTTTTCTCGACTGAAACCTCCACACACTGGGATTGAATTGGAAGCCGCTATATTTGATTGCTTAAAGCAATGGGGAATTAAGAAGAAAGTATTTTCTATTACTTTGGACAATGCTGCTGCAAATGATAACATGCAGCTTATATTGTTAAACCATCTCCGTTTGCAGAATACTTTGTTGTGTGATGGTGAATATTTTCATATACATTGCTCTGCACATATACTTAATTTAATTGTTCAAGAAGGTTTGAAAGTGGCTGCTGAAGCACTTTATAAAATCATAGAAAGTGTTAAGTATGTGAGAGGATCAGATGGGAGGATGATTAAGTTTCAAGATTGTGTGGAACAAGCAGGCATAGACACAAGCATTGGTTTGAGATTAGATGTGTCAACTAGGTGGAATTCTACATATTTGATGTTAGAAAGTGCACTTAAGTATGAAAAGGCATTTGATATTCTCCAAGTGATAGATAGGAATTACAAATATTGTCCGTCATGTGAAGAATGGAGAAGAGGAGATAAAATATGTGAATTCCTAGAACCCTTTTACGAGACTACAAACATGATTTCAGGTTCATCTTATCCAACCTCTAACTTATACTTTGTACAAGTTTGGAAGATTGAGTGCATACTGAACGAAAACTTGTATAATGATGATTATACTTTAAGTGATATGTCACTGAGGATGAAAGAGAAGTTTGACAAATATTGGAAGGAATATAGTACAGTTTTAGCTTTTGGAGCTATTCTTGACCCGCGTTTGAAGCTTGTTTCCTTAGACTTTTGCTACACAAAAATTGATCCATTTACCTCCCAAAATAAGGTTAAAAATATAAGAGAAAAGTTTGAGAAGCTATATGAAGAATATGCGAGCAATCTCAAAGGATCAAGTGCTTCTAATTCTCATTCATCCATCAATTCCAATCTCTTGCACAAGTCAAGTGGTGAAAGCAATAGGCCAAAAAAATCAAAATTATACATAAGTGTAAGTTCTTTCGTGCTAATTTAGTCATTTTTTTTCATTGTTGTTTCATTTATATAATTGATATATCAAATTTTGCAGGAGTTTGAAAGGTTTGAGAATGAAAGTATGTTTGTTGGTGGTAAGAGTGAATTAATCTTTATTTGGATGAACCAAAAGCTAAATATGGTGATGGGGAGGATTTTGACGTGCTTAATTATTGGAAGCACAGTGAGAATAGATTTCCCACACTCTCTATTATGGCCCGAGATGTGCTAAGTATTCCAATTACTACAGTGGCATCAGAATCGGCTTTTAGTATCGATGGGCGTGTTCTTACCAAATATAGAAGTTCCACTCTTCCTGAAAATGTCCAAATGTTGATTTGCACTAGGAATTGGTTGCATGGTTTTCTCGAGAATCCTAATGGTAATGCTTTGCGTTATTATGCTTAATATTTTAATATTGCTTGGTTATGTAGGGATTGATTGTCTAATTTAGTAGTTTTGTTTCAATTGGTTATGAGTTTTAGATGAAAATGATTCTAATACTAGTGATCATGAAACAACAACATCACAAGCCAATGTGCATCAAGAAGTTGAAATAGAAGATTAGAGAGGTATTTCCGTTAGTAGCTAGTTGAAATTTATAGTTTAGATCCATTGATTATGTGTAGTTGAGCTTAATTGACTTAATTGTGATGATATTTAGTATTTACATTGGTTTTGTGCAGAATTGATCCTGCGATGTTGAGGCCACTGCTGCTGCTGTATATTTGGCATCCATTCTTGAGTATATGACAGTGTTGCATAGAAGACTCTTCAGTGACAGTGTTGCAGCACTCTTTGAGAAATGGGTGGCAGATAAAAAGGCTGAATGATACATTGCACCTTAGGCTTCTCTAGTTAGAGAAGGATCTGAATTTTTGGCATTGGTTTGGATTTTATAAATTTAGCTTGGTTGTTATTTATATTCACCAATTCACAAGAATTGATGCCTTTTATTGTAACCTTTATTTATTTCTGCACTGGTCTATTACCTAAGAGGAAAGATACAGGAGTTGGATTGTTGTATCAATTCTTTTTTATTTGTAACTTACTGAAGTTATTCTTTTATTGTAATTTTGTTCAAAAACTTGGACTCTTTGCAATCAATACGAATTGGACCACCAGCTGTAGGTGAGAGATTCCCATTAGGCTCAGTGGTGTCATCAAGCAGAATACCTCTCTGTTAATTCCATATTCGTAGCATCCCACATGGAACATGCTATGATGATCCAATTGTCATGTGAATCTCAAAATGATAGTTAATGGTGAGAATGAATATTAAATTTTTGGAAGGCCCATGGGCTAGCCCTAACCCTTAGGGCTTTTGGCCCATGTGGGCCTATACCATTGTGAGCTTTTTGGCCCTAACCCACGCGGGCTAGGGCTAAATGGGTCGGGCTGGCCTATTTTGACAGCTCTAAAATCAACATCAATGAAACTCAGATCTTAAATACATTTTTTTGTTCAAACCTTGGTGTCCATTCTCTACCGCCTCACACCGTGTCATTACCCGCATCCCATGGCTGCCAAATCCTTATAACCAAAACAACCATTATGATTACCAAAAAAAAAAAAAACAACCATTATACTCCATTCCCACCGTACAGCAAGCATCCTTGTCGTTTCATCACAAAACTGAACCAAGATTTTAATCTCCTTTCCAAGCACCACTATGTCAAGACATCTTCCCCAAATCCTCTTTAGTTTTTTCCCCTTTACATTTGACTGCGCCAAGAAAAATGATGAAAGCTCTATTAACAACGTGAGAGTGCCTCTCTTTTCTTATTCTTTATCTTAGTTATTTTTCATTACTTATCATTTATTGCCATGCTTACAAAAACTAGTAATATGTATTGTTTGATGGCCCACTTGCTGGAATAAAAGGAACCTTTTTCTTGGGCTTTATGAACATTGTTGGGTCTGTATTTTAACTTTCTTTTTTTCATGGGTTTTACCTTTCTTTTTAGCTATTATTTATGGATTTAATGTTTCTAAGTAAATGTAGATAAATTATCTACATTCGCTTCCAAAACGACGTTGTTTCGGATTAAAAATTAAAAAATTATAATGAAAAAGACTATTATAACCCTGAAATAAATTATAATTAAAAAATACTTTGATTTCCGCCTTAAAACGATATCGTTTTGAGCTCAATGTAGATAAATTATTTACATTGACTGTAAAAAAGCGAACACATTTTTTATTTATTTTATTATTATTGATATTAGTTTATGTCAATGTGGAGAAACTTAAAATTAACCCCCGTGTTTGTTGCGCAGCTTGCGTTCATAATTCACAACATGTTGCAGTAATTGCTACATTCAATAATTTGTTATTTTATATTTGTTTAATTATATTATTAGCATGTTGTTTTTGGTGACTGATTTTCTGCCATTTTTAAGAGAAATATAAATATAATTTTTTTCCCTCTTCTTAACAAAAAAAATGGATTAGCTGAGTTGAGATTACTTCATGATCATTTTAGTTGTAACAGCTAAGTGACTCAAAACTGTTTAACTTTATCATTCTTTCATTATAAACTTTGTATTAACAAAAATAATAATAATAAATATTAAAAAAATATTTGCTAATAAGAGATTAACTGAGCTGTAATAGCTTATTAGTCTCGTTAATTTTAGAGTCATTTTGGTTATGACAATATAATGACTCAATTTTTTTTAAATAATAAAGAATTTAAATTTATTATTGGTAAATTAATTTAGAGTAAATACCATTTTTAGTCCCTAACAAAAAATACGGTCCCCACTTTAGTCCTTTACAAAAATAAATTAGTCAGTTAGTCCATAATAAATTCAAAGTGGACCCATTTAGTTGAAATCGTGGTCCTCACAAATTCAAAAAAAAACCCATATTAGTCCCTCAAAAGAACTAAAATGGGTCCACCTTGAATTTGTTAGGGACTAACTGACTAATTTATTTTTGTAAGGGATTAAAGTGGGGACCGTGTTTTTTGTTAGGGATCAAAAATGGTCTTTACTCTTTATTTTAAAAATAAAGCATCAAAATTAGTTGATGACTTATTTTAAAATTTTAAATAAAATTTGATCTAAAATTTTAAAAACCAGAATGAAAAATAAAAATGATTTTCCAATTTTCATAATTCAAATAAAATTTGTGGCAACTTTGTTATTTATTAAAATTTTAGGGTCATTACATTACCTCCAAATGATGAAACAATAAATTGACCACAAAGATCATAATGCACCAAGTATAATACATTAGATTTTCTATCACGATGCTTTTGGAATGAATATTTATGATGTCTGCCGATAATACAATAATTGCATGCATTTAAATATATACATTCCAAATTCAACAATTCATCTTGCCCCTCAATACCACAATGGTAACACTTGATTCTTTCCTTAGATTTTAAACTATTTTCGTGACTTTCCACGACTTTTGTTTTGGGTATGACCTTTATAAAATTTCTCGTTGCTCTTTCTCTTGTTTTCTATGATAAGTGTTTGTGCATCATTTGAATCCATGGACTTTATTTTGGTCTCATCATTCAATACTGCACTAGTAACCATACTTATTGATAGTTTATCCTCTAAAGCAGAATTACTGATAGATTCCACTAAGGTTTTCCAAGATTCTAATAAATAGCTCACCAAATAAAGCTTGTAGTTCATTTTCAAGTGTCAACTTCATTGTGATCAATTGATTCACTATACTTTGAAACTCATTCAAGTGTCCACTGATAGTAATACTATCCTTATACTTCAAATTTACAAGCTTTTTCATTAAGAATGTTTTCCTCCCAACTGTTGTACTCTCGTAGATAGTTACCAATTTTTTCCTAAGTTCTTCAATTGATGTCCTATTTGGATCATGATTAAAAACACTTACATAAAACCGTGGCCTAATTGTGTCAATTATTTTTCTATTCAATTTTGCTCATTTTCCATTTGACATCTTCGGTGGTCGCTTGACATTACTCTCAAATGGGTAATAAAAGTATTTGCAAAAGAAATAATCCAAATCAATCAATTTGATCTATTGAGTTTGAGCATAGTAATCGAGCCACCTTTCATTTTAATTTACATGATAAAAACTTGCAACTACAAACCAATAGGCTCTTGATACTCCTTCGTTGGGGACCCAAAAAATAGATCAAGTGCAAATAGAAGTGAATAACTCAAATAATATCAAGAATATAACAACAACAATAATTGGCACACAAGACTTTAAACGTGGAAAACAAAATGTGGGAGAAAAAGCACAAGACCTTTATCAGAGTCTGCCCAAATCTCTATTATCATCGAATAATAATAATAGGTACACAAACACAATATTCTCTATATGTATCAATAGAGGAATCAAATAATATCATCTAATAAATGAAAATCAAAAGAAGAAGAAAAAAAGGAGGAAAATCACTAATAATGCTCAAAAGGGAAAAATAAGCCTACTGCTCTAGGGACCTATAAATCACAAAATGACTGCTGAAGATGAAGAACTAGATGCCACAAATATTTCCCCAAAATTTGAGTTGATCGATTTCAACAAATTCGCACCGTTTGATTTGTCATAAAAGGTCTTCTTTCTTTCTTTGTTTGAAACATATGTACAATCATCCTACATTTACCTAATTCCCAAATAACCTAAAATTCTGGAAAAATAACCAAAATGCCATTTTTTTGGCAAACATTTTACCCAAATGCCACGCGAACAATATTTTTTACCAGACTGACACGTGTCATAATTCGCTACGACTGGTAAGGAATTACGTTCGCCAATGATTTTGTGACACATGGCAAACTTTCGCAGGAAAAAGCTGACGTGTCATAATTCGCTACTAGTGGTAGCGAATTTGGTCTGCAATATGGTCACGTGTCATGAAATCATTGGCCACGAAATTCGCTATCAGTGGTAGCGAATTATGACACGTGGCAGTCTGGTAAAAAATATTGTTCGCGTGGCATTTAGGTAATTTTTTTGCCAAAAAGTGACATTTTGGTCACTGTTCCTTATGGCATAAAATATAAAATGAGAGTGGCAGTATCATAATGCCAAAACTTTGTCACTGACAAATAAGAACTATAGTTTTAATTGATTGGTATAACAAAGGTGCATTCCAAACTATTTAAGACTTGAATAAAAAAAATTCATATATACATATATGAGTAAGGTTATATTGACAATTTTTTTTTTACTAACTTACAAACTACACTATGTCTGATTGGTCAGACTCTACTGAAGAGTGTCTCACTGGTCAGACATAGTATAGTTTGTAAATAAAAAGTTTGTAAATAAACTTTCCCCTACATATATATTTTATATATAAGCAATGTTTTTCTCATGTTACATGAGAAAGCATTAAGCTATGTTAAAACTCATCAAAATTTGAGCTAACACTTATTTTATTTAATTGTGGGACCCATCTAATTATGTCTCTACATGAGACAATCCTTTCTCATGTAGCATGAGAAAAGCATTTCCACACACACACACACATAAATGTAGGACCCACCTAATTATGTCTCTACATGAGACAATCCTTTCTCATGTAGCATAAGAAAAGCATTTTCACACACACATGGA